CGAATGATTGTGAAGTATGAATGCTTGTGAAGGGTTCACACCATGAATGATTGTGATGGGTTTACACTATGAATGATTGTGAAGCGTTCACACTATGAATGATTGTGAAGCGTTCACACTATGAATGATTGTGAAGGTTCACACTATGAATGATTGTGAAGGTTCACACTATGAATGATTGTGAAGCGTTCACAGCACGAATGATTGTGAAGTATGAATGCTTGTGAAGGGTTCACACCATGAATGATTGTGATGGGTTCACACTATGAATGATTGTGAAGCGTTCACACTGTGAATGATTGTGAAGCATTCACACTATGAATGATTGTGAAGCGTTCACACTGTGAATGATTGTGAAGGTTCACACTATGAATGCTTGTGAAGCGTTCACAGTATGAATGATTGTGAAGCGTTCACAGTATGAATGATTGTGAAGGTTCACACTATGAATGATTGTGAAGGTTCACAGTATGAATGCTTGTGAAGGTTCACAGTATGAATGCTTGTGAAGGTTCACACTATGAATGATTGTGAAGCGTTCACAGCATGAATGATTGTGAAGCGTTCACACTATGAATGATTGTGAAGCGTTCACACTATGAATGATTGTGAAGTGTTCACACTATGAATGACTGTGAAGTATGAATGATTTTGAAGTGGTAACTCAATAAATTGTGTAAATCCACCCTCAGCTCCTGATTTTAACAGCTTTAAGATTAAAACGTTGAAAATGGAAACCTGACCGACCTGTCGTCTCTCGGTTCTCCATCGTCAGGAAGTTGAAGACTGAAAACTTGTCCCTCTTCACCTTGGGCAGACCCAGCACACCGGACCTGAAGGACCAATCAGAGTTGAGTTCACAGGTCTGACAGACCGGAGTGGAACACCTAGCTCAGACTCATCCGGACTTGTTCGAGTCATACCCGGGGTACGGGTCGGGCACGTTGAACCTCTTGCACAGCAGCTTGTCAGGATGCCACTCAAACGTTTCTCTGGTCAGTTTTCCAAACATCTTCATCTTCACAGCTGACTGTTTGTCGTCCACGTCGCCCTGACAACCAGACAAAAACAAATCAATGTTTGCCCCTTCCTGTCAGGAGGAAGATTATCATGAAGTCACATAGGGCTGGGCGGTATGACCTCAAATTCATATCACGGTATAAATTGAATCCCTTCACAGTAACAGTATATATCACGATAGAAAATTATCGTAAAAAGCAAAGATAATGTAATTTTTAGAGCATTTATTTTGCAGAAAACTGTGATCATAATCAAACCCAGCATTATTGCTGTAGTGCAAATAAACATAACAGAAGTACAAAAGAATGTTTTATATATATATAATGCAAAATGGTTTCAACAACAAACTAAAGCATTTATCTAATTTTCAACAATATCAAAATAAAGTGTAAGTTATAACTAGGACTTCAAGTAAAATAACTCATTTAGACATAAAAACAATTCTAAGTTGGCATAATTTGCCTAAAATGTTATAGTGTGACAGAACTTTAAGCTGCACACAGTCCTGTCAAAAACAGTTTCAGATAACTGGAATGTAAGTGTGGTGGAGCCAAATAAATGTAATATCTGCCTGCCATACCATGAGCTTCTGCCTGCTGAACTGACCCTCTGCTGCCTCTCAGAGCACAACTGCTACATTAGCAAGATAGATTTATGACCGAACGAACGTCCAGATCTTTTTATCATCTCTGTGGGTAACAATACATAAAAAACAAGTTTTTTTCTCCAACGTGTGTGAAAAACTACGGTTGTTAAAGCTTCGCTCTATGCGACGTGCAGCAGGAGGGAGGAGAGAATGATCCCGTGACACGACGTAACTTTTCTACAGCGGTTGGGGGAAATTTTGAGTATTTATTATCTCTATACATGTTTGAAAACACTATATTTCTTCATTTAGCTGCTCAGGTGTCTCTGCACTCACAGCCCTGTTGACACAGGTGTGATGATGTAACCGACGACAGGACGGTAGAGGGTCAGTTTCTACCGTAGGCCAACTTCTTCTACCGTCTATCCCGTAGACCGCTCAGCCCTAAAGTCCCATCGTTCTACCTCTTGGTCCCGGGCGACCTCCACGGTGTCCTCGTCGTCCTCCTGTTTCCCCCGAGTGAAGCGYGAGGACAGCGAGGAGGAGGAGGGTCGGTACAGGATGGAGGCCCGGACAAACTCCTCCCGCTCCCTGCTGCGCTCCCACTCCGTCATGGTCGGGTCCAAACTTTGTTCCAGAGCATCTGTGGAGCAGATGGAGAAGCTTTAACCCAGCTCAGGACTGGGTTCAGCAGGTCCACGAGGTTCACCRGAGCCTCCTACCTTTGTCTCCCTGTCGGAGGCAGTTCAGGTACAGATCGTACCGCGCCTGCTTGCTGGGGTTTTTCTCAAAAGGTTTGAAGGTTTGTGACGAGGTCTGGACCCCTCTCCACGCTGCCAGAGCCTGGTGTTGCTGCTGCAGCCTGGCGGGGGGCGGAGCCAMYGCCGGTGGAGCGGCGCGTGCAGCGACCTGGGGGTCCGGGATGCTGGGTTTTAGGGTGACAGAGTTGCGCATGTTGAGCAGACGCTCCCTGTCTTCAGGCCTCAGCAGCTCCATGACTGAACTGGGACCTGGAATCAGTCACAACAGCTTCATCTCGTTACGTCGGACTCTTTAGGAAACTTCCAGAATAAAAAGCAGAAACGCCTCCTTCACCTCTCAGGGGGTCCTCTCCCAGCTGCACCCTCCTCTGGCTGGAGTCCAGCTGGTGGCGTCCGCTCTGCGGGGGCTCGTCTTTCACCATGTGACCCCTGGAGGACTTCAGAGCCTCAGCCAGAGCCGGACTGACTCCGGAAAGTCTCGAGACGTCCACTTGTGAACGGAAGCGATGGACGGGTCGATAATTGCTGGGCAGAGAGGGAGGAGGGAAGACCTGCAGCGAGAGGCGAGGGTGAGGAGTTTCATCTACGTCCAGACAAATTTCTGCAGGTTCTCTCCTACCGTTTTCTCCTCAAGAGGATTCTGGGCCAACGTGAACCCCTCCAGGATCTTACCGATGTATGATGCATCTCTGCTTCTGTCTGAAGACAAAAATACACTTTTATCATGTTTCTGTGCTCCTTTTCTAGCATGGATAAGCTGGTGTTAGCATCCAAGAGGCTAGGGACTAACATTTACAAGCTGGTGTTAGCACTGGAGAGGCTAGCAACTAGACTAGAATAGAATAGAATAGAAACAGCCTTTATTGTCCCGCGTGGGGAAATTCAGGTAGCTAGCATCGGAGAGCCTAGCGACTAGCATGGATAGGCTGGCGTTAGCATCGGAGAGGCTAGCAACTAATATTTATAAGCTGGTGTTAGCATTGGATAGGCTAGCAACTAGCATGGATATGCTGGTGTTAGTGACTAGTATGGATAAGTTGGTGTTAGCATTGGAGAGGCTAGTGACTAACGTTTATAAGCTNGCCGGTGGAGCGGCGCGTGCAGCGACCTGGGGGTCCGGGATGCTGGGTTTTAGGGTGACAGAGTTGCGCATGTTGAGCAGACGCTCCCTGTCTTCAGGCCTCAGCAGCTCCATGACTGAACTGGGACCTGGAATCAGTCACAACAGCTTCATCTCGTTACGTCGGACTCTTTAGGAAACTTCCAGAATAAAAAGCAGAAACGCCTCCTTCACCTCTCAGGGGGTCCTCTCCCAGCTGCACCCTCCTCTGGCTGGAGTCCAGCTGGTGGCGTCCGCTCTGCGGGGGCTCGTCTTTCACCATGTGACCCCTGGAGGACTTCAGAGCCTCAGCCAGAGCCGGACTGACTCCGGAAAGTCTCGAGACGTCCACTTGTGAACGGAAGCGATGGACGGGTCGATAATTGCTGGGCAGAGAGGGAGGAGGGAAGACCTGCAGCGAGAGGCGAGGGTGAGGAGTTTCATCTACGTCCAGACAAATTTCTGCAGGTTCTCTCCTACCGTTTTCTCCTCAAGAGGATTCTGGGCCAACGTGAACCCCTCCAGGATCTTACCGATGTATGATGCATCTCTGCTTCTGTCTGAAGACAAAAATACACTTTTATCATGTTTCTGTGCTCCTTTTCTAGCATGGATAAGCTGGTGTTAGCATCCAAGAGGCTAGGGACTAACATTTACAAGCTGGTGTTAGCACTGGAGAGGCTAGCAACTAGACTAGAATAGAATAGAATAGAAACAGCCTTTATTGTCCCGCGTGGGGAAATTCAGGTAGCTAGCATCGGAGAGCCTAGCGACTAGCATGGATAGGCTGGCGTTAGCATCGGAGAGGCTAGCAACTAATATTTATAAGCTGGTGTTAGCATTGGATAGGCTAGCAACTAGCATGGATATGCTGGTGTTAGTGACTAGTATGGATAAGTTGGTGTTAGCATTGGAGAGGCTAGTGACTAACGTTTATAAGCTGGCGTTAGCATCGGAGAGGCTAGTGACTAGCATGGATAAGCTAGCGTTGGCATCAGAGAGGCTAGCGAGCTTAGGAACAGATATAGCCTATGCTACAACTGCTGGTTGTGGAACAGTCTTAATTTTGACCCTCATGTCTTGCCATATTACCTCTCCTCTTGGTGTACTGCTGAGGAGCTGTCCAGCCGTACAGACTGTCACCTGGCTCCTCTCCTCCCAGCACAGTGTCGTATTTAGACATGGAGTCTCGGTGGTACACGTCCTCGTCCTCGTCCTCCAGYGCCCCCACACCGAAGGCCTGCAGGTCAAAGGTCAGGTAAAACTAGACATCACTGTTTTAATAAATCAAAGACGACTGTTAAACTCCCACCTGTCCAGCAACTCCTCCTCGTCTCAAGCCAACCTTCGCTTCTCCAAACAGGYGACTCCTCTTCTCGGACTGAGGCCGGAAAAGGTCGATGTGTTCGTCTGCGCCGCGGCCCAGCAGGGCCAGACCTGGGTCCAGGCCATGGTACCCGAGACCCTGGACCCCTAGCTTCGGGGTGAAGTCCATCGGAGTCACGTCCTTTGGTGCAAACGTCACGTTCTCTGGAGCAAACTCTTCATCGTCATCGTTGTCCTGATGAAGCAGACAGATGATCAGGAAATAAAGAGACAAAGTGTCATTTTAAAATAAAAAAGGGCTGCAGATGACCGCCCCACCCCCACCCCACAGAGAGCCAGCTGCATCAAGTTCTGACAGTCTGATTTGTTTGTTTAAACTTTGAGCCTTGGATAAGATCATGTGGCTTATATAGTCTGATTCACAGCAGTTCAGGGAAATCGTTGATGTAAAGTTTTGATTGGAAAATATTGACAGCGCCTCCTATTGGTTGACATGTGAACACGTCTGCATACATCAGTTCTTGTTACTACCCTAAAATATTGTCACAAAACCCCGGATTCTTTGAGTCGGTGTGATTTTTACTTTCTGAAAACAAACAAACCCTACTGTAGTACAGCTCAGGAGAAACACTTATCAACCCACCTCTGAATCCTCTGAAGCAGCACGAGGCAACGAACAGCCGTAAGTTTTCACTCCACTTTCTGTCAGGGGTACAGAAAAGCATTTGTTTATTAAAAAAAAAAACATATTTTTATGAACCTTTGAGTCATTTTTGGCATCAAGACTTCTGTAAACACACCGCAGAGA